TTTGCAGTATATGGGGGCCATAAAGTTAGGATGCTCTATTGTTCTCACACTGGTGTCAAATCCTGAAGTCAAGCTTGGGCCCGCTCTCTACCTTGCATCATGATTGGTCAATGGAGCTGCCCTGAACAGTTATGGACCAGCATAACCAATCAACAGTAAGGTGCAGGTGGTGAGAGGGAGGGGCTCCAGCTTGACTCACATGCCAAAGTCGTAATTTGTATAACAGAGAATCCTATTTTTTAGGTTTCCAGGTGCCATCTAAAGATATGTGAGGTACTTCTATGCCCTGACAGTTTATGAATAGCGTGATATAAAGTGATATTAAATTCTCAAACATTTTTGCAATAATGAATTCAGATCAAACAAATATACATTGTCCAGCAAAGTATTCGTTTACATTTTTGCTCAAACACAGACATCATGTTTCCATACAGCTCCAACTCTCTCAGCTCGGCTTCTGTGAACTTCCTGTCCAGTACAAGATCACAAGGGACAGCGCAGTCTTCAGCAACTATCCATCTACTAACTTGGAGAAGGGAGGAGCAAGGGGGGTGGGGGTGGGGGGGTGGTGCTTTGCTGTGTCTGTGATGGTTCTGGAGACACACACAGCTTACTAGCACACACAGGGTGGCTCCATAGGTGCATGCAAGGGAATAGAGACACCCTAAAACAAGATATCGGGGCCAGTGCTCAGGGGACGAGTTGATTCTCCAGGAAAATAAAACTTTTAAACATCAAGCAGCATTCATTGTAAGTGATATAACCAGCATTTGAAATAGCTTAGAAAAACATTTTGACTTTAATATCTCTTTAAAGTCAAAAGGTTTTAAGCTATTTCAATGCATTGTAGCTTCCTGCAGAATAAATGCTTATAGTGAATAAAAAGGCAACAAGGCTGAAGGCCTTTTAAAGAGCAGCTCGATCCGGCACTAATATTTTAATCTTGGGTGGTCCTTGAGGGATTGAGTCACCTGTGGCTCATTTAAGATACTTCCTATATGTATCTCTACCCACTTCCGCAAGGCAATACCAAAGGTGTCATAGTATTAGGTGCCACTACACAATAGTAAAAAAAACAAACATTTTTTTTGTTGGAGCAGGTCATGGCCTCAGAGGGGACCTTTTTTTAAATTTATTTATAATGACACATTTAATAATCCTTCTACACTTAAAGAAAACAATGAGAAGCACATTTTATTGTATAACTCTTGTTGGACATTGTTGCACATAGCAGCCCAGTACAGAATTTAACATGTGCAGGTGCTGCCATCTAGTGGCAACAGATGAATAGGCAACAGATTTCTTATCTCTTCATTGTGCCAGTTATTCCACAGTCTATTAATGAATTTACTTTCATTAAATTTTCAGGAAAGAAGATTTTATGGTGCTTCATGTAATAAAATAGGAAATTATTACATATATTTCTTTGTAAATATTTATTTATAATACATGTATAATAAAAAATAATAAATATAAAAAAAATTGCAAATGTGTATTTTCAGGCACCGTAAGCCTCTTAAAGGGTCAGTCCATCCAACATAGATAGTTCAGTATATGGTAGACGCTGGTGAGCTGGCATGCATAAGTGCTATGAGGGTTTCCCACCATTCCAGTGCTGGGTTCCTGGGTCTGCATTACCGCTGTGCCCTTATGAGTGGTTTCCACAATTTCTGTTGGATTCTATATTTTACATAATGGAAGATGTCACTGAAGGGGCTGGAACATACAAAAGTGGGTGGAGACACTCTACAATTGTGGCAGGGAGATCACCTATATCTAAAATATCACTTTTGGGTGGACTGACCATTTAAACTGGATGAGGGATACAAAGAAGGTGGCCTGGAAAACATCATTGTGCCCAGGTTAGGATAGGGTCACATATTTTATAGGTGCTGGGAGTCTTCGTCTTCTGAGCTACAGCAGCTCAGTGCAGACTGGATTGGGGACTGAACTCCTTCTGAATTCACAAGCAATGAGCAATTATGTCCGCAATAGAATTTTTTAGTCCATCAAAATGTTTATGAATTGATTAACGCCAAACTCCGGCCTTGCCTTCAGCCTTGCACAGTTGTAACGACTCCTCTGAATGGCACCCTCTATAGAGGACTACAAATCTCAGCAGTACTTTATACAGAAATGCTATTGTTATATAAAGTATTGCTGGGATGTGTAGTCCTCTATAGCCTGTGGCATTCTGCATTGCTGTAAATATTAGGGTTGCACCGATATATCGGCCGCCAAAAGATATCGGGGGGAAATGGCACTTTTGGCTAAATACCGAAAGTGCAATTTTTCTGCTGATACAGCAGTGCATCCGTGATTTCTTTCCTCCCCGCTGGGCGCTGCTCTGTGTCCCAGCGGGGAGGAGAGAAAGTGACAGCCGGCCGAGCGCTGCGGGAGGAGAGCGCTGTGTTTGTGGTTTTTTTTGGGGGGGGGGGGGAATCTTACACCAGGGCCCTTTGTTCCTTAGGTCCGTCACTGCCTCTCATGTACTGAAATTGCTTACTCTGATTTCACTGCACACTGAGAGCTTCTCACAATGTGCTTTAGAACAGCGGTCACCAACTGGTGGTCCCTGAGAACATTTTGGTGGTCCCCTGGCCCTCCACCACCACTGCCACTCAGGCACACCAGCACCTATGTATGTATGTTACATAGTTACATAGTTAGTCAGGTTGAAAAAGTCCATCGAGTTCAACCTATAGAGATACGGAGAAAAAAAAGAAAAAAAGCCTAAACCTGATTTAAATTATGAATTTAGTGGTCCATGATGTCCGAAAGGTTGGCGACCGCTGCTTTAGAAGCTGCAGCAAGTCAGATAGAGCCTGCCTCGTTTCCTAGCTGGAGGACGTTCTTCCATTCATTGGATTTCAATTATTTCAATGATGGAGGCTCAGCATCACATGTGGGTGTCACCACAACTTCCTGTTTTTTGTGCAGCAAAACCCACTGCAGCCAGGCGAGGAAATGTTATTGCAGAAAAGATATGCAGGGTCTCTTCTTCAATGAACACCTACCTGCCATACTTGATTCATTGTTATTCTGTAATTCAAAAAGTGAAAGCTCTTCCTTTTAAAAAAAAAAAAAAACCAGAACTCAGGATTGATATATAAGATCAGGAATTTATTTGATTGAAGGATGACACAAACCATACAACCAGTGCGACAACATAGCCCTGAGATGCGATTCACACACAGCATTCAGCTTCGGCGTGCCGCCGACCGTCCGTTCCATGACTAGGTTCAGGTTAATTAAAGATTCTGACAATAATATCCATTTAAAAGCGCTAGAAAATACATTGAACTATTACTCCACAAAAGAGAGAGAGAGAGAGAGAAAAAGAGTCACGATCAAAATATCTGAAGAAGCCCCACATCAGCCAATCAGAACGCTTCATGTTTTCAGCCGATGTTGTAGAGTGTACGGAGAAGGGTTATTGGTTGGTAGGGGTAACAAGAAGCGTTCTGCTTTCAGATGTCTTTGATCAGGAGACTCGGACAGAGTAGACACTCTAACTGCATTACTGTATACATTGGGGCCTGTACACACACGTTCCAGACTGGAAAGCATATTTTCGGTAAAAAGACAAGTGTAAGGATACAGGTGTAGAGTCTGTCTGTGTGTGGAAACCTTCCAGGGGAGAGAATTCAACTGCAGTGCACGTGTAGATGGACCCTTAAACCTACAGATACCCTGGCTCATTTAAACACATTAAAGCTTATTTCATTCATTTTGAATAGCATCCCAATGCATTATTACAATAACAGGCAAGACACCCAGACTGCACCGCAGTACAACACACACGTTGGGTTAAAAAAAATACATTTTTTTCAAAAAGGTGTGTTAACAGCCCATTAAAAATGAATCTGCTGCCTTAGCACACTATAATGTGTTGCAATAACACATGTGCATTAGGGCAAATCATAGGGGCTGATTTATAAAACTTTCAGCCAGCGTATGGCTGGACAAATGCCTTTCGCAGGGCACTTCTACCACTAGATGGAGCTGAGCAACATAGGATATTCTGATGCTTCACAGCACCATCTAGTGGTGATAGCGTTGTGCGAATGGCGTTCGCCCAGCTATACACTGGCTGGAAGATTTATAAATCAGCCCCATAGTAAGAATGGGCTGAGTACTCGCCAGTAAGAGTTATATCTGTATTTGTTTCATGCATTTAGATGTGTTAACAGCCCATTAAAAATGAATCTGCTGCCTTAGTACATGATAATGTGCTGCAATATACAATATATGCTGCTCCTCTGCACCATCTAGTAGTAATAGTGCCGTGCAAACAGCATTCACCCAGCTATACGATGGGTGGAAGATTTATAAATTAGCCCCATAGTGGGAATGGACTGGGCACTCGCCAGTAAGGGTCATACCAGTTTTTTTTCTTCTTCTGCTAAGGTGTGTTAACATCCCATTCATGAATGAATCTGTTGCTTTAGTGCATGATAACATGCAGCGATAACACATGCACATTCTGTGTGCATGGATTTGTATGTTCTTCCAATGATTGTATGGGTTTTCTCCCAAAACACAAAGCAGGGATTTTTTGGGGACTGTTTTGTTTTGTGTGTCTTTAATGCCAATCCTGGTGTATAGATTTATCTACTTTAAATGCAAAGTAGATAAGCACCATTCCTCATCAAAGGAGAGGTGTCCAGCAGCATGGACAGCATGAGAGGTAAGTATTTACACTCTTCTTTTACAGGTATTGTGTTTCTGTAGAGTTTTAGATAAGGACAATGTCGCTTTAAGTGCTAATTTTATGTATAGTTTGAAATGTTGGTCTTAGGTGAGGGTCAGGTTAAGGATAGGGGGGTGAGAGGTCCCTTTACATTTTCACTTGTTGAAAACCTTCACACCAAGGATTATCAGGCTTTACTTTTGTAGACCCTTAAAGTCAACAAACTGCCAAAATAAAAAATGGTAGACGAAACAACCTTTAACCAAATTGGCCTTAGTATGCCTTTATAGGACCATGGTGGGTAGAGTAGTTTGTAAACTGCTCTGAGTTTTATGTGCTGCGTAAAGTGAACAATCTTACGGCATCTTAATGCATTTTTACCATCAGGTATTGTACAAGTGTCATGGATGGCCCCGACCCTGTCATTCTGGAGCCTGTGTGTACAAGCTGTGAGATTTCTGAGGTCCCGCGGCAGCTCAGCGCTGTCCCAGGAATCCATGTGGCCCTGCAAGATCCCCGGCTCCGAGGTTCCAATTGAGACCCAGGACCTGGCGATGCGGTGGTCCCGTTCCAGCACCCCAAGAGTTAACTGAAAAGAAGCAATGAAATACTGAGAGACGGGCAGCTGCCTGGGAGCGGTCCCCTGCGGATAATATTACACAGGATAATTACAGTAGATTGTGCAGCCAATAGAAACAGAGGCCATAAGCTTGTCTAGCTAATACATGGGAAATCGTTGCATGCATTTCCTATAAGCTGAAGTCAAAGGTCAGGTCATATTTCCCCATCCGCTGCTTGTACACCAGGTCAAATTTGTCATTCATGGATACGGTGAAAATATCCTTCCAAAGGCCGACCCTTCCTGGAGGAAAAGACAGAAACAGGCTTTAAAATGGTCTTACAGTACATCATTTATAAAAAACAAACAAAAAACTCTTGCCTAATTAGAAATCAGGATATTGCTGGATTGCTTAAAGTATAAGTCCACCAAAAATGTGTTCTCTTAGTTTTGAATAAAATGGTGAAGGGTTTGAACCTCTTTCAGATTTTTGCTGCATTCTGGGGCTCTGCTGGAGACATTTACCGTCATTTCCTGCCCTGCTGACCGTGTTTTACCAGACTGGAAGTGAAGGAATCTTTCCAGTAGTGGAAAGCTAGAGCCCCTGTCAGATTTGTATTTCTGTTTGTGTGCCTGCTGCTACTGCTCCTTGCTTTCTGCTTGGTGAAACTATTGTCAGCAAGACGGGAAGTGAGGGTGAAATAATATTATTTTAAAAAACCCAAAAACCTTGGATAGCAGTAAAAATGCAAACGGATTTACTCCTCTACTCCATCGAAAACTAGAAAAAACTTTTTGTCTTAACATACACTTTAACCACGTAAAGATTTTGAGAACACATCTCTTATGTCCTGCTTTCCTTCCTTCCGCCGCTCAGGGCTGTAGCTACCATGGGGCGAGTGAGGCACTCGCCTCAGGCACAGCAGAGAGGGGGTGTAGCCAGGGCAGCCTGGCTGCGCCCCCTTGCCCCTTTTGCCAAGGTGAGCACAGGACGCCATTGGCAACAGGGGCGCCAGGCAGCCAACACAGCTGCGGCTCAGCAGGGAGAAGAGGAGCGGCACAGGCTCCAGCTTCTCCTCGGATCCCTGTTTCTCTCCCTCACCTGTATGGGCAGAGGACTTTGTGTCCTCAATCTCTTTTTCTATTTCAAACGGGAAATGTCATGTTTAGACCCCTAATATCTCCCCTAAAGCCCCCCCAACAGGGGGGGGCACAATTTTCTGGAGGGGGCACAATTTTCTGGAGGGGGCACAATTTTCTGTTCTTGCCTCAGGCGCAAAATGAGCTAGCTACGGCTCTGCCGCCGCTGCTCCCTCCGCAACTATTATCAGAAATTGCTTTATTTATTTGCCAAAACGCAGCCACTTCTGTGTAAAGGGACACTTGAAAAAAGTCTGCAAGTGTCATTGAATAAATACATTAAATCAATGTAATGTTTCATGGTATTTACTATTTTATTTATATATAGATCCAAGATGTGACCTTTAATCTGCATATGACATCACTAAAAGAAAATTAAAAAGTTAAATTGTTTTCTAAATAAAATGTATTCCTATTGAACCCCTTTCTGACCCTTTATTTACCCTTAGCAGCCCCAATAAACTTCCCTGTAGCTATTATTTTTCTGCTGATTTTTTTTTTTATTTCTATTTGTTTTTGTTTTTTCATTTTCTGTTGTTTTTATTTGTTTCCTTTCTTATTTAGTTTGAGGGCTGCATAACAAGAAAATGCACAAAACTGGGAAAAAAACCCTTTCTGTCATGCATTTTTGTATAATTTTAAACAGGATAAATTATAGAATAAAACTACTTTTTCTAAACCACAGATTAAAACAGAAACAACGCATTTTTCTTTACATCTTTTTTTGTCTACAGATTACATAGAAAATAAAACATTTTTGCAAAACAGTATTAGTCCTTTCCAATTCCCCCCCACACACACACACCCACAAAAATGTAGTATTTTAATATCTTATACAATGATAAAGTTAAGACAAAAAAACAGGCCCATAGTGGAAATGTAATATTGTTTTAGTTCATAAGGGGTATGAAGGAATGAGACCTATAAAGGTCATAGTGTGTGAATATCAAATGCCTCCTTTTTTAGTTTTGGACACAGTAGGGAAGCATTAGAACCTCTCTCACATGATTAATGTTGTCCCTGCTGGGTAGCTTTATACTCCCTATTGGTCCTAGTGACCATTGTCATCAGAACAGAAAGTGATGACAAATACAATATTTAGCATTTATCACCAGGGCTGGATTTACTCTCTCTGCTGCCCCAAGGCCCGGTTCCTCTATGCGCTTCCCTCCCTGCAAATCCTCCCCATGGAGAATGGCAACCAGATGGTGGGGGCGGCAGGGCTAGATTTAATTTTTTTAATGTTTTTTTACATACATTTTATTTATCTTATTATTTTCATCACCTTTTTATTTGTTTATTTTAATTATTATTTTTTTTACTTATTTTTTTTCTTAATTCTTATTTATTTTATATATTTTTTCCACTTAACTTTATTGAAGAAGGCAGGAAATTTTGCCTTCCAATATTTTTAGTCAGGAAATCAGAAAATTTAGACTGATACAAAGACGTCAAATCACTGAATTGTTTAATAAAGGTGAGGTTTAAAATGGAATCAGTAGAATTGCAGTAGTAACAGAGGGAAACTGAATGTTATCGGTAGACCTTGCAGATGCTTATCTCCATATACTGGTGATAAGGTCATAACTCTCAGTTCTCAGTTCTCTTTTAGGTTTGGAGTTGGGATTGCGATTTCTTTTCTCTGGGATTATGTGTTTACGTCCAGTGAAGTTTTCAGCATGTTTATGTTTTCCCCCCAAAAGCATTAATTCTCTTTGTTCTCAGGAAGATCCAGCAGGAGATAGTTTTACCCTCTTGTCCAAGAAGATTCAGCTTTCTACTGTTTCTACAGCTGGCACAAGCTTTGCCTTAGTATCTTCCACCAGAGAGAGATCTTTAGCAGTGCGACCTCTTGAACCTAAATCCTCAATGTCTTTGTTTGGCGGCTCGTGGGTGCTCAAAGTGACCGTGGATGGCACCGCCAATATTGAAACTTGTTAAAGATGTTACCTTCAGGTGACATCTTTGGTGTGCTGGTGACTTCTTTAAAAAGTCTCCCCCATGAATAACTCAAGGCTTATTCCACAAGGAGTGTGGTGTCTTCATGGGCTTCATTCTCTAAAGCAGGGGTGGCAAACTGCGGCCCTCCAGCTGTTGTGGAACTACAAGTCCCTTGAGGCTTTGCAAGATTCTCACAGCCACGGGCACGACTCGCAGAGGCAGATGCATCATGGGATTTGTAGTTTCACCACAGCTGGAGGGCCAGAGTTTGCCACCCCTGCTCTAAAGTATCCTTGAAAGGCCACCAGTTGGAGTTCTCCCACAAAATTCACTAAACACTACAACGTGGAGGTGTCTTGTCCTTCCTAAGGTTTGGCAGTTTTAATGGCTTCTCATCCATCTAATAAATTCTAACAGCATTGCAGCTTTTAGCTCTGCATGTCTTTATTCTTGAGTAGTCTTTTCTGTCCCTTTTTTTGGTTATTGCTAGCTATATCCCATGAGTATGCTGACATGAGGAGGCCTAAAAAACTGAAAATTGTTCTTGATACTTACCCTAATTTTCCTTCATGTCAGCATACTTTCCCACATATTAGTTCTGTCCCGAGTCCAGTTACGGAACATTGGTGGAGGGGACTGGGCTCAAATATATGATATGGTAAGATGGTCCTAATGGGGGTCCGAAGGGCGGAGCTGGACCATGAGTATTCTGACATGAGAATAGGCCAGGAAAGGAAGCTTACTATAAGTATCGATAACAGTTTTCCAATTTTGTCTGTGTCCCTGTGCCACATTTTCCCTCACTTTCTGTCTGGTAAAACCATTGTTAGCAGGACAGGAAGTGATGAAATCTCTCAAACAGAACCTTGGATAGCAGTAAAATCTTGAGAGAGGTTCTAATCCTTCTCCATTCCATCCAAACCTAAAAAAAAGCAATTTGGCTATACATACACTGTAATGTTTATTGTAATGACTACATATAGTCAAATAACATTTTAGTCTCCTCTCTTGTGATGGCAGAGCAGCACATTTCCATTGAGTAGCTGACACCTTAACACTATATATTGTCAGGGCACAAAATAAATGGCCACTTGTAGTAGTTTTATCTTCAACAGCAAGCTACCAGCTTCCCTTCTTCCCACCCTGTCGAATCGTATCCCTTTGGCAGTAATGTCAGACACTTTGTGGCTCTAATGATTTTGATAGAGTAGGGGAAGGCTAGGATAGCAGTCAATATTGTACAGTGTTCTAACAGCTCACCTTTTCTTCATACACCTAAACAAAACTAATAGGGTGACAAATCTAGTTGGCAGTTTCAGGTGTACTGATGCAAAGTGGGTGATTTGTCTCTTTTTTGCCCCTGCCTCCAGACATTGTGAGCCACTTTTGGCTTTACAGGGGGCAGCACAGGACTGGGGGAGCAAAGAGTAAAAATCCATGCCTGCTGACAACCAATCATCAGGTGCAACAACAGAGCACAATGTAGTAGTCTCCTATTGTGTTTATTGGCTTGTAGTGTTAGTTAGGAAGTTCATTAGAAGTTCCTTTCAGCCATTAGAACCTGATCAGCACATCCAATGGGTACTGCTGGACCAAAGCATGGAAGAAAAGAAAAAAAGGGGGCAACTCTAGTGCCGTTGGGGTGCCCCAGATCTATCAGGATTTTATCCACACTCTACAGTCGACCAATATATAACAAGCACCTAGTGAAAGCTGAACAAGGTATTGAACAAAAAGATATTTGCATATGGAAACCCTCCGATAACTGTCATCCTGCAGGCAGCACTGCAGCTTGTTGTACTTTTTATGAGACAAACTTGCATTATGAATGAGACACCCACCTGATGCTCCCCTCTGCGATCCTGTAACTGGGGCACATGAATTACAAGCTAATAAACTGCCTGCTCACATCTTCAGAATGAAAATAACCAACATGCTAAAAGAAAACAAAAATAGAACTGAAAACATACATGACATTCAAAGAAAAAGAAAAGGAGAGTCAACAAAACATAAAACATGTATCAAACGCACATGTATAGGATGAAAATAAAATGAAGGTTAACATAAAGATAAAATGAATTACAAAAAAAGACACCCGCTAAATTGTGATAATCAAGCAGCAATCCACCCAAAATGGTTATTTTTATATAATTCCTAGATCTGGTCAGACAGTAGGCTGACATTGCCTCTGATGTGTTATGTTCCTTGGAGGTTCCTGGTTCCTGGTAATACATTCTCATGTATTACAGTTCTTCAAAAAGATACATATTTTGTATTAGCGGTCTTCATTATTGTGCATTTGTTTGTTTTTAAAGGTGTACTCCAGTCAAGATCTAAATTTAGACCCAGAAAGGCTTACATGGAGAGCAGCTTGCCTGCCCAGAGCTTCTGTTTTCGATTATTAGTTGCTGTAGTACACCAAGCCAACTTTTGCCCCAAAACCCCCTTGAAATCATAATCTGGTGTTCTGAGGACAACATCTCCTCTTCAATTTGAAGGTGGCATGGGGTATTTCTTGCTCTGCCCAGTTTTGTCCTAGAAGAACCGGTGGTAGTGTCACCATGCTGAGGATGTCATCTCCCTGCTTCCAGCGAATGTTCATTTTACCCACTCTCCATGATTGCCACCCTCCTCAACACTTCTTTTAGCTTCCCTGAGCTATTTCGGATACCTCTCACAATGCTTAACAAAACACCCATCATCATCAGTTAAGCTTCTTGCAGATATGAGATGAAAGTCATCTGATCCTGCTGAATTGGGCTACAAATCTACGTTTTGATGGCCAATACAATCTCGATTTGATCATTCAATAGCTCAGTCAATGTAATTAAACTGATTGAATTTAAAAAAAATTCACAAAGGAGGACCAGCTGTGATAGAATTTCATTAATCACTTGCAATCAATAAAATAACTGAATGTATCAGAAAACCGATCGTAAGACTGTTCATGTAAATGTTTTTAATACAATTTTCCTAGATATTTTTATGACTGAAGGATTATAATTTTGATCAATATTTAGTCAATCACAAAATGCACAGTCTTGATAATAATTGTTCTTGGCAGGTACAAAAAATTGGGCATGTTGGAATACCACCCCAATAAATATGGTTCTTTCTAGTGTTGTGGTAGTGTCTGCCAACTTCCTCATATCACTCTCCTAAGACTAAACATAAATGACGGGCCAAGCCAAGCATGTGTGCTTAGCAGAGCACTGCACATTGGGAGGACCCTTTAACTAATAGACTATGCATATATGCATAACTGTGCTGTGAAATCTATAGAAGCTAAGGAATCAAAATGCATCCTGATGAAGAAACTATGCTTTAAACTGGGAGTGCATTAAGACAAATATAAATCTAATACATAGCCATTGAAACTTTAGCATAGCTGTAATGTTTTGACAGCATCTCCAGATTCCAAACGTTATTTGTTGCCCGAAGTTGCTCTTTCTCACGTGCAACAAAAAATAGTCCTCCATTCTTGTCGGATGCTTGTGCCTAGAGAAAGAATGGATGCTTTCTCAAACTACAAAAACAAACATGATGACATCTATCCTACACGTACCTCTGCCCACTGAGAGGGCCTCTGCGTTACAACACTGGTCAATAAGTTGATGGCAATGTTCTATCGTGCACTCCAGCTGGGCTTTGTCATAAGAAACTCCCAGAAACCTCACCAGCTGTTCAACCATTGTGCCGAGGTCCTGGAGGGAGACAAAAACAGTACATCTCTAGCTCTTGACATGTCGATTTAGTGGTTAGAATGTTTACTTTGCAGTGCTGGGATAATGGGTAAAATTCCCTCCAGTAAGTATGGTTTGCATATTATTCTTCTATTTGCATGAGTTTTCTTTTACTAAAACATTAATGTTTTATTAATGGTTTCCACCCAAACTGGCCCTAGTACTGTATGTGCATGTGTATTGCATTCAAATTGTAGGGGGGCAGACAATGATGTGAATGGTTTACTGTGAACTGTGTACAATCCAGTGGAATGTGTTGCAGCTACACAACAAGAAAGCATATGTCACCAGAGCATGTATTTATGAAAGGTTCTTGTTTACAAAGATGGAAAAGAGGTGATAACTGCTGGGGTACCGGGGATCAGATAGGCAATACTTATTTTCCCGATACCCTAGACTAAAATTAGCAGTTAAAGGAGAATTTCGGGGAGCGTAAAAATACTGCTCCAATACTTAGATCCAGGGTTGGATACTGCAGCTGTCACGCAGCAGCTCTAACACCCAAAGCTGACCGATCATGTGACCGGTTAAACAAGTTAGGTTTAGAGGTGGGGTAGGAGTTTAGACCTTTGCTCAAGAGAGATTCTTCATTTTGACTAAGTTTATATAATGATAGGTTGAAGATTTTTATGGACAGAGGTTCTTTCTCTTAAAATAAAAGTTATTAAAAAAATGGAGCTCACTTAAAAGCCATGCCAACTGGCTTTGTGGGTGGCTAAGTAACGCATAATAGAAATCAGAAATATATTTTCTTCTCTAGCTTATTAGCAGCTAAACCCTAGGCCCTAACACTGTCACATGACCAGGAGAGTGACATCACTGCTTCCACAGGTTGTGGACACCAGTCATTTCAGTGTCGGCTAGATAGAGCAGGTAAGGAGGATCGGGAGCTTTGCAGAGAAACTGTCACTTTGTCCTGCATGGGCAGGGGTGACAGGGTCTCTTTAAGTTACCTTTTTCATATAAGCTTAGTTTATTAACTCCATGGACAATGGGTTGACCCTGAGGTCTTCTGACACAGGAATTGATATGAATGGTTCCGTATGCTACCAGAACATGGCCTTACCTTGTGCATATCTTCATATTTCAGAAAAAGTACATTAGAATCCAAATGATGATCCCAGAATTCAAGGACGTGGTCAAACCATGAACCGTAGCCCACTGTGGTCATAAAAAAGGAAGGGAGTTAACATTTCTATCAGAAACAGTTATCGGTGTTTTAATAAATACTCAAATTAATAAGTCAAGCAGGCCACAGAGCAACATGCCAAATGCAGTAACCAGAACAACCAAACACAAGGTCAACTCTGATTAGTTGCTATGGATTATTGCACCATTTACACCATTTTTGCTCTTGGCCCTGGCTTATTACATTGCTGGTTGGAGAAAGTGCCTAGAGTGGTTTTGAGAGAGCAAGAGAACATTTCTGAAAGTCATATAACAATAAAGCAACACAACAAAAAATCAATGAAGCTATAGCAATCTGTGCAAACTAACTCCAAAACTGTGCTGAAACATGAATGATACAAAACACGTATGCTTACATACCCAGAAATGATATACAATGTTGCAGAATGCAAATACAAAGTAATAAAAGTCTTTCAATGTATCAAGATGTTCTCTCTTCTTTCTTTTGAATGCAAAGTGTGAATGGCCTCCAAAAAAGCAAACCATGTTCCCCACACCAGGGCTCTCAAACCCTTCCTGAGGACCTAGGATGGGCATGACTGGTGGAGCAGAGGGAGGTCAGCAAACATCTGTTTGCTGCTCTCCTCACCCTGTGAATGAACCCGGAAGCGACAAGGATTTCAGCACTTCCTGGTACAGAGCTGTCATTTACCAGCTGATATGGACAGAGGAGAAGAAGATGATCAAGCCCGATCTGTGCTTAATTAGATTCAGTGGGGCACAGACATGACATTAGGGGTCTAATAGAATCATAATGTCTCTTTAAAGAGTAAAGAGGACTTGTAATTTCTACTAGGCTATCACATAGGGGGCTATTAGTTAAATGTAAAAAAAAAAAAGTTTAAAAAATAAAGTAACATGAATTCAATAACAAAATAGTTTTTTTTTTTTAAAACCCTCCCCAACGTAAACACTCTCACACATACATAAAGATGTGATGGGTGTGCCTACGCAGGAAATGTGCCACACATGTTGGGTATTGCCGCGTACACCAGAGTGAGTGCAATAATTCTAGTTTGTTCTATTTACAGTTAACTCTAAAATCATAACCTTTAAAGGGTTTTAAATCGTTGCCTATGGACAATTTTTGGATGTCAAAACTTATCACGGTTTTATGGGTGCACACAATTTTAAGGTTTGTTTTCTATTTACTTGGCACAAACCTCATTCATTTTTACCAACAAGTGAGTATTATATATAATGAAAGTGAGCTTTAATGTATTTTTTACTGAAATTTGGGTTGGATAAACAGTTGTGCTAATAATTTTGCCCAGAGGTCGGCTTTAACCACAAATCACAAACCGCAAAAGTGTCTATACTCCTCCACAGATCTTAAAATCAACATACAAAAGTGTTTTTGTGCCCGAAATATACATACATCAATTATATCTATATGTGTGCCTATCTATACACAATTTGAAACCAGTGCTCTAAAGCAGTGGTTCTCAACTTGTGTAACCTCAGGACCCACATTTGTCCTTGGACATTAAAGGAGAACTATGGGGTCAGTGTTTTTCCCCATAGTTCTCCTTAGGGTAACGGGAGGACACAAACTAGCATCCTCCCGTCACCCTAAGCTCAGTATACCGCGAGCTACATGGACGTCGAGATCCGCCCAGCTGCGTGAGTGACAGCTGGCTCTCCCTATCTAGAGGCAGAGCCAGCTGTACCCGCCACCTCCCCCGTCCGTTCCGCCAGTCAGCGCTGGCAGATCGGAGCGGGGAGAGGGGAATCCAACCCCTCCCCCTGTCACGGCCTCTCTGCCGTGACAGGATCGAGAGGTGAGCGAACCCGGTATGTGTTCGCTCACCTCCCGATCTACTGAGCCGACTTGTGACAGTCTCATTGTCACAGGTCGGCTAGAACTATGAGGTGAGTGGAAATCACTCATCTCATAGTTCTCCTTTAAGTCGCGACGCAAGTGGCACTGCAATGGAACGCACAGCATTAGGGTATCTCGCGTTCCGGTGCGGATGTACGAACTGTGGGTGGGAGGTGCGTATGGGGTACCATTCAAATGAATGGGAACGCAACACACCTCCCACACCAGATTGCACAGTAGATGCAATTGCGTGGTACAGTGTGTTAATTGCACGGGACTGTACTATTAACGCACTGTACTAGTGTGAACGGGCCCTCAAAAACACTAACATACATACACAACAACAGACACAATCTCACACACTCACAGACATTCTCACACACACACACTCCAAAAACATTTTTTTCCTTTTTTTTTAGAGCCACCCAGCCTCCCTACCTTATGAGAAATGGAGTGGATCCTCAGCCTGGGATCCAGTGTGGGCTGTTGTGCTGTGACAAAGATCCATCCATATGTGCATTGCTTGTACAGCTCCCTTTTGTGCCCTGTAGAGGTGTAGGAAGCCACTCCATTCCAGGCACCTCTAAAGGGCACTTGAGGGAGCTGTAAAGCAATGCACGTTTGGATGGAGCTCCCTCGCGGCTATACTCCCAGTCCACCCCACCTCAAGCTGACACTCGGCGCCAGGCAGCATTTTTGAATGGCTGCTTGGCGCGAGAACTGACAGTGCTGTGCTAGGGGGAGGCTGAGGAACCTCTCACCAAGAAAAGTGGAAGGCATGTAGTGACCCACTGAACATGGTTTTGTGGGTTTCAGCTTATGATCTTCAGCTGAAAGCTGTAAATGTTTTTCTTCTTACATTTGTCATTCATGAACCTCCTGCAGAACTCCTGGAAGGTTCCTCGGTAACTCATAGTCCGCAGGGACCGATGGAACTGATAGTAAGACACCACCAGGTCTTTCGGGTTCCGTGCCATGTAGATGACCTATAGCAGAAGATGAGTTTACAATGAGCAAATCATTATAGAGCATTACAGTGGCTTTCCAGCCCACATACACAGGCGATGCTTCAGGTCTGAGCAACTACATCAAAAACAACTAGATCAATCTCCTTTAGATCTATCAACCACTCCGTAATGCAAGGAACTGCCTGATTGGGTACAAATGGATTAGAAGATATGCTAATAACATTCCATTTTACCTCCTTCCAATGGCTCTGCAAACTGTTCATAAATACATTTTATATGGAACACGCAGCAACTCTCAGGGAACTTCACCTCTTTCAATTGACCAGGAATAAAGCATATATCCATACATCCAAGAGTTCAGTCAAACACCTGAATTTGATTGATTAAATCGGCATATAAGTTCACAACCGCAGTCCAGGTTATTGAAAAATTGTTCAAAGCCTGAAACAACGATGACAATTCTGTTTAAAGCAGCTGGATTCTTCCACTAGGTTTGATCCAGGCGATTTGTAGAGGATTAAAATCACTAATTTCCGAGTTCGACTGCTTGAAATTTCAATTCCAGCTCAATCGCAAGCAGTTGAAACTGCCAAAAGGTTGCCACATGTATGTCCAGCTTTACCATTCTATTATAGTTACCTTGGATTCTCCATTGTGCAGGTCTCTTGGCAGGAATTGGTGGGGTAGGTGACTCTTGATTAGTCGTGGAGAGGTCAGTTCCTGCACCAAAAACATACACAATGTCATACATCTCATGAAGTTATCAATATAATCCTAAATGTTTCTGTGCTCTACTATACCAAATTAATTAAATGACATACACATATTTTTGTGTAATTTTATGTATTTAATTAATATTAATAATAAAAAGTTGATATAAAAAAATAAATAAATAAATAGATAACAGCTACACCTTCTGTGCCAAGGAAAAGCAAGAAAGATCAGATTACAAACACTGCTAAAGGGACATAGGCCCACTTCCTTCTGTCCTAGCTGAGAAGAAACTATTTACTTATTTTAAACAAGCAACCAAGTGTTGACATTTTGTATTAGACAATGAAGCATTTTCGACAAACTGAGTGTCATGGATGTTGCTTGAAAATGTGTAAACGTATACAACGTAATATTTTCCCCTAAAAAAACAGGATAATCAGAACAAAGGCACTTCACTACCTAAATGCAGGTTGCCATGCAGTACTTGAAAAAAAAGGAAAAGTTGCAATCTTCTGGGTGTATGGTGGGTTAACTTGTAGCCCTGCAAGTGTAGCTTGATCCCTATTGGGCAAGAGCATGCTTAAACTTGTAGCCCCCCTCTCCCATTTATCTCAAAATTTGACCATAATCGTGACCACAATCTTCTCTTAGTTACTCATTTGTGGTCATGTCTAACAACCAATCCAATGCTGGGTTTCATTTTCTAATGACAGCTGAAAACACTTGGGTGCTAGAGACACGGCTTCATTTTTCCTATAGATATTCTGAACAATACCTTGATGATATCCAACCCAGGCTGAGGATACTCCAAGACAGGCAGCTGCTCGTCAATGTTCATCAGTCCAATCTCATCAGGATCGGCCCCTTGGCTCACTAGATACACAATCTCCTGTAGCAAGCTTGTCCCTGCAAAATAAGATTTCTGTGAAACACTAATGACATGTATTGTACATTGGCAAACAGATGAACGTGAGAGGGCCAGATTTTGAGGTTTTAAAAAGCTCTACCAGGAAGGATAATCAATTGGACTTGTGGTTCTGTCTGAGAATATTGATGACAGAGCTCAGTATTGTTGGCACGGGTTTCTTGCTACAAACAGAAATGGGTTTCACCTTGATAGTTATACTATTTTGTACTGATCTAAACTGTAGAAGAGAGAAGCTTGAAAGGTGTTCTTAATACCTGAGACATGAGTCTTGCCCTGATTGTCACGTACCATTGGCTTGTTCTTGTGTCACTCATTAATCTGTTATAGATTGCAGATACTGATTTGCAGACGTCTGCCTCCTCCCCTCGTCTGTGCCTCTTTGCACCATCATTAGGCTGAAGGGAACTGAGCTCAGTGATTCTTTATGTATTATTAATTTACCATAATTATATTGCTCTAACACATTACAGTGTTATTAGAGCCTTTCACATCCGTCCTTGTCAGCCACAGGAGCTCACTATCTAAACCTGCTGACTAGGGTCAGAGTTCTGCAGGCCATGTGTAAGGAGTTGTTTCAGGGAAACGAAAAAGTGTTACCTTATATTTCCCCATTTCATACATCCCAACTGTCCCTCATTTTAATCCCAGGACTGCGTAATCGTGCATGATTGCACACAGCGATTGCCGTACGCCCCCTTTGATTTCAATGGCGTTATATCCCGATATATATCCATGTGGCAATAGCTGAAAAAAAGTACAGGTGGTATCGTGGAGGGAAACAATGCAATATGCCTGGGGCGACCGGGGTGTCATTAGAAAATAATGGCACCACCAGAGCGATCGGCGGTGTTGTGCAAATCCGTGACCAGGGCTGGATTTCCCACAAGGCCAACCAAGGCCCGGCCTTGGGGCAGCAGGGAGTAGAGGGGCAGCAGGGGTATGGAATTCCTATCTCCCGACCCCCCGGGACATGCAGTTCCGGCCGACGAGCAGGTAGTTTTCTACCTTTAGCCCTGCTTTGGGCAAGCAGGACTGAATGTCGAGAGGGTAAGCCATCGCTTGTTTTGTACAAGTGATCTCGGCGATGTCACCAAGATTACTCGTATGCAGCCTGCATACAGGGGGGTGCATTAAGGAACCTGGCATTGGGGCATCAGGAAGAGTAAATCCGGCCCTGTCCGTGACCCCGTGGATACCTGCACGGTTGCGTGTACGATTGTCGTGCGGTCACGGATCGCCCTAGTGTGAACCTAGCCTGAAACCAAATCCCTCTGTCCCTTTTTCCTCCTCAGTGGTCCCTCTTTTTGGTCTGATATACAGATATCTATGAAAACGTTCCATTTAACTTGCAAAAGTGTTATTCTACAGTAAAATCTTCATTTTACTTTATTATCATGGTTGCTATAATGAAAAGCCAGTATATAGAAAAAAAAATAATGGTAAAAAATAATTGGGTTTACCCAATCATTTTTGGAGACACACTGGGGGCTTCAGCTGCCATTGTGAGGTGCTGGGCTTCTGGTGTGTGCCTGCGCCTCCAGGCATACCTGCACCCAATTTGTCCTTTGCTATATACAGTATGCTCCAAGATAGAGGCTCTCATAGATTAGAGTTAGGAACGAACCACACTACGCAGAGGAGCCTTGAGGTGCCAGTGTGCCTTCCAATATTAGGCAAAAGGTGTTTAACTAAAACCTCTGATTTTAACGCAAGTCGAGACAGTGTAAGCTTTTTTGCAGTATAGCTGGTAAATGTGCTGGGAAATTTTTGTGTTAGGTTTCTTCAGCATTGGTAGATAGATGTCAACAGTGCACCAAAGTATTGTAAGCCAAAGTGCTCGTTTATTTAAAATGTCATGTCATCAGAACAATTGGGGTTGAATTGGGTTTTCCCAAGGCAACTCTACGTTCGGTTCCTTCACCGCTCGCCATTCTCGCCAAAGTAGTACTTCATATGTTTTATTCTTTGGCAGACATGGAATTAAGCATGGGGCATAGTCAACCCTACAGGAGTATTGAATTCTGATGACTGATAGGTGAATATACTGTGAATATATTTATATACACTATATTACCAAAAGTATTGGGACAACCCTCCAAATCATTGGATTCAGGTGTTCCGTGAAATTTCCTTGCTACTAAATATTCCATGGTCAACTGCTAGTGGTATTATAACAAAGTGGAATCAACTGGGAACAACAGCAACTCAGCCATGAAGTGGTAGGCCACGTAAAATGACAGAGTGGGGTCAACGCATGCTGAAGCACACAGTGTGCAAAAGTCACCAACTGTCTGCAGAGTCAGTAGCTACAGACCTCCAAACTTCGTGTGGCCTTCCGACTGGCACAACAACAGTGCGTACAGAGCTTCATGGAATGGGTTTCCATGGCCGAGCAGCTGCATCCAAGCCTTACATCACCAAGTGCATTGCAAAGCGTCGGATGCCGTGGTGTAAAGCACGCCACCACTGGACTCTAGAGAAGTCGAGACGTGTTCTCTGGAGTGACGAATCACACTTCTCTGTCTGGCAATCCTATTGACGTGTCCGGGTTTGGCGGTTGCCAGGAAAACGGTACTTGCATGACTGCATTGTGCCAAGTGTGAAGCTTGGAGTGGGGATTATGGTGTGGGGTTGTTTTTCAGGGGTTGGGCTTGGCCCCTTAGTTCCAGTGAAGGAAACTCTTAAGGCATCAGCATACCAAGACATTTTGGACAATGCTCCCAACTTTGTGGGAACAGTTTGCGGATGGCCCATTCTTGTTCCAACATGACTGTGCACCAGTGCACAAAGCAAGGTCCATAAAGACATGGATGAGCGAGTTTGGGGTGGAGGAACTTGACTGGCCTGCACAGTCCTGACCTCAACCCGATAGAACACCTTTGGGATGAATTAGAGCGGAGACTGCGAACCCGGCCTTCCCCTCCAACATCAGTACCTGACCTCACAAATGTGTTTCTGGAAGAATGGTCAAACATTCCTATAAACACACTCCTAAACCTTGTGGACGCCTTCCCAGAAGAGTTGAAGCTGTTATAGCTGCAATGGGTGGGCCAACTCAATATTGAACCCTAAGGACTAAGACTGGGATGCCTTTAAAGTTCATGCGCTTGTAAAGGTAGGCATCCCAATACTTTTGGCAATATAGTGTATCTATCTTTGAGCGTCGATGCATATATTTGTCTGCCACCTTGAGAAAGTGGTCCTCCATGTCCCCAGAGCGTCAGTAGAATCATCCTTTTTTGTACGTGAATCTCTTTTTTGTACTTGAACTTGGTACTTATCACCTCAGTAAAGGATTGAGGTTTTATCCATAATATTTCAAATAAACCTGTCATGATAGACACAAGGAGCGTGCCATTGCTAAATTCTATCTGGAAATGCCAGTTGCTTCCCTATCTCTAGTTTTAATGCTTGCCTAAGCAATAACCTGGAAAAAGGAAGCCAACTGGTTGCAGTGGGTAATTTAGGCAGATTTTCTAGCTACCAAGAGGCCCGCTGTACAAGGCTTTATATTTTGACACCTAACACCTGCTTTAATTCCAGCCACTATACTACTAAAACTGCATGTGCTGTGTTTCCAAATACAGCTATAAATACAATTACAGCACTTAAAGGCAAAATAATTAGAGGCCATTAGATCCTCCGGAACAACAATATTATCGTCCTGATAGGTAAACACCCTATTCTATTCTATGTCACACACACACTATTCAAACTTCCCATATTTATATTTACTGGCCGAGAACAGAAAGAATTTATAATGAACAACTCCAGCAGAATACTAAATTATTTACTGCAAATACTACTGACAGCAGCAGGAAATGGGACAAAGCTGACAAACATGACCTGTTTAATTTGATGTCAATAATTAGTTCCAACAGGGAATAAATTAATCTTCTCTATGTTAAAATTAAAGTGCATTTCAATATGTTTGCTGATCTCTGGGTAAGTCCTCCCTCCATCTAAAATGTACCCACTTTACCCCTGCTAGCTTAAAGCCCAATTACATTTAAGGTACCTAAACTAAATGCCCCATTTTATTTACCTGAATCCATGGTTATTTATTCTGGACTGCAGTGTTGGAGGGTCTTTTTTCTAGTGCCCACGTTGCCCGTTGGTAATTGGGAGCTTGCCACTGGCTACTAAAGGGGTCCTCTGAGGGGTTGCTCACAGGTTCTGAAGACTTTAAGTGACGGCATATTGCTGTCATGACACATGGGGCAAGAACGGGACCGATCAATGAGCCTGGACTACACTGGGGGATGAATGGTCTCCACTACCGAAAGAGATGCCGCGGAGGGTCATGTGACACAAACTCAGATTAGTAGAAAAGTAGATTAGAGGCGTTTTCAAAAAGAAAAATCATGAATGTGTGGGAGGTTGGCTGAGATAGAAGAGACTGAGGCAGATTTGATTTTTCCCAGTAATGGACTTTAAAATGAACCTATTGCTTTGCCCATGTGGGGTTCTCTGCCACCCCATGCACTAGCTGAAGTGAAGAAAAGAAGTCCTGTGTAAGCTAAGAGACCCTGTGGATGAGAGGGAAGTATGGGACCAGTGAGACATAAGACAGGGTGACAACGCAGAAGAGCAATTGGGAGGCACTTGTCACCCCACAGCAGGAAGTTCCGCAACAAGGGCCTTAATTGCAGGTATTTTAAATAAAGATACATATTTAAAAAGATAGGAAACTACTAGTTTATTTGATAATTTACGTACCGGGTTTAGAACAATTTTAAAGCACAACTCTGTGTAGAAAAAAACAAAAACAAACAAAAACCTATTCCTTCTCTGCCCACAACTACCCAATCGGAAACCCATAAAAACTTACCTAAATCTACTGTCATGTGATCCTCCACATCTCTTCTGGTAGCGGTGACCGGTGATTGGAATCTGCTATTTGTTATCCCTTCTGCTCTGCCCCTTGCATAATGATGTCCCACTTAAAAGCTGCAGGACATTGGGAGAACCCTGGGAGGACTCCAGTAAGGACCCGGTGATGATCATTTTTGACAGCTGATGATCAGTATCCATGTCACCAGGAGATGAAGAAAGAAGACTTAGGACCTGTCCTGTCACGTGATAGAGTTTTAGGTAGGTCATTTGGGGCTTCTAGGTACATTGATATTCATATCACAAAATATAGATTAGGTACAGGGGAATGGAGTGGAATGGAGATTTTTTTTTTGGGAAACCAGCTTTGAAGACACAACATCTAGTGTTTTCTTTTAAGCTACTACTTGATGCATGTGACTCTGGTTCAGATGATAGTTATGAAGAAAGGGTAGGCAAGGGCATCAGTAGCGCCAGGCACTTGGGGCACGTGCCCTGCATTTATTGCATGGTGCCCTGCATTCTGAGGCTTCTTCTGCCTGCCAATGTTCTTATTTCAGTAGCCGCCTTTGCCCAATGTATTGCTTAAGGGCAGTCACAGTTGTCATCTGCAGAATTGAAGAAGGCCAACTTCAGCATGCCATAAATGTATGTATTCATTTTAATGAATTTTTTTTTAATGTGTTTTAGCTCACACTAGTGTAGAGTGTGAACAATTTTCATGCATGTGTGCAATTTATGTGTGCAATCATGGAACACACAAAAAGGCGCATAGCGCTTGTGGTGCCATTCATTGTTAATGCCACCCCAAACGTAGCAAGCAAGATGTGCTTCAACCGTGTAAATATGTGCTACAAATGCACAAAAAATGTGCTAAACTCAAAGTTTAGAAAGGTGCATGAGCTTTTTTGCTTAATTTCTCAATGGATGGATGTCACACAGTGTAAGTGAATGAGGGCTTAATGCATTTCATGATTTTTGTACGCATTATCTGTTTTTGTTTTGGCCAGTGAAGGTGAAATTAAGTATAGTTTGCTTCTGGGTGGGGGATTGTTGTCAAGAGCTAAAACGCACAAATGTGCACGCTACATGCATTTTTCATACACTCCTACTGCAGTCTATGGTGCAAAAAATACACTACAGTATGTAGCATCAAAAGAATTATCCCGTGGCATTGTCCAAGTTGCACAGAAGCGTGTTGCGTAGGGGTGAACGGACCTCACAGAAAATAATGGGATTCCTTTTGCCGTGTATTCCCGCAAAACAGCCGACGCGCTTTAAATCTAATATCACACAAGGAGCCAGACTAGAGGGGCAAATCCAGTGTATCATCAATGAAGCTGATTCTAGGAATTTTGCTGATTTCTGCTCTCAAATATTTAGTAACTGCAGCAATACACAAAATAAATGCATGCTGATTTCAAGATGATATATTTATATCATCATGTATGTTATATTTATGTCACCAGAACCTCTGCAATGCCTAGAAAACAGAACCCTGCTGGTTTAAAGGTCTAGGATCCTGAACATGCAGGATTGGCTTTTGGAGATACAAGAAAGGGAGAGAAAACAATGACATCATATCAAGCTCTGACTCATCCACCTTCTGTAGACTTGCAAGGGTTAACCATCATAAACTGTCTACAGGATGGCAAGCCCAAGATGTCTGGGGGAAAGAAGAGTGCTACTGTTTATGTATGCAGTGCCCTTCTGTCTGTGCCCGCTGGCTATGGTGCCCCCTCTGCATCCTCATTATAGTCAAACATCACATCACAGGCAATTAAAGTTTCCAAGAAGCAGATCCTGCAGACAGACACCAAGAGGGGACTGGTGCATTAATGGCAGACAGGCTTACAGTGCAGATCTCTCTGTGCACAGTAATCATAACACATGCATATGATGGTCTTTTTGCACTTACCTGATTTGGGGTAGGTGACAATCCAGATGTCATTTTTTCTTACTGAAAAGTCAGCAATTTCCTCCATCTTCCCCCTGCAGAATGGGGGCAACCTGATCCCATTGTACTCAAAGTATTTGCTCTCAAACTCCACCGGGGTGCTGGGGGTCTCTGCCTCGCTCTCTGCCATGCTCAGTGATGCTGGTGGGCGAGAAGCAGCAGCAGGTTGGGGTCCGGTGTGGGAGAGATGCTGGGCAGGATGGCTGAGCTGGATACGGTGATGTAATGCGATGCTGAGGATGCAGCAAACGGTGTTCCGGAGCTCCCTCTGGTGTTCAGTGGAGGAATTATAGGGGACCAGCAGGCTGGCAGAGCGCATGCGCACCCCTCTCTGATCCATTAAAGGATGGAGAATTCTCCTAGGAGCTGACTTCACTTCTCTGAATGGGATGTGCCTGATCACAGCCACCAGCTGTACTCTATGTTTTCTAGTTTTTCACGGCAGTTGAAAATATATTCCTTAATAAAAAAAACAACTGCTCAAATAATGTTAAATGCATAGTCCACCTTTTACAATAATAATAATAAAAAATGTGCACACCTTCTTAAAAGAAAAAATGTGCTTTTATAATTTTTTTGGCATTGGTGGCAGTAAAGCATTGCGGGATGCAATACTCTGGCTCTGCAGATTGTTCTTCCCAGAGATGGGAGGAAGTATGAATGTACTACAAACAGGGTGACATCACCACACTTGTACTCCATTGAGAATTACAAGCCCCTTGACCTCCTGACCTCATGCCTCAGGGAGTCATGTCTGTGACTGTCAGAGTCTTGCAATGCCTCATGGGAGTTCTAGTTGCACCACAGTGGGAGGAATGAAGTTTCCTGACCCCGAAACATATAAAAATGAATTAGCAATGATTACCGTATTTTGCGTTACATAAGACGCTCCGGACCATAGGACGCAGGGAGGTCTGGCGCGCCTTATGGAGCACTCGACAGACTGTAGCTTCTGTCACAGCTTCTATGACAGAAGCTGTGACAGAAGCTGCAGTTAGTGACCGCTGAGACAGGGGGCGCTTGGATTACAGCGCCACGGTCTCAGTGATCACACAGAGCAGACGAAGAACGTCCGTTCTTCGTCTACTCTATGGTAATCTCGATCGTCGCCGCTGCTCGGTTTTAATACGAGTGATCTCATTACATCACTTGTATTAAACGAGCAGTGGCTCCTACTGCTGAACTCGATCGCCGCTGCTCGGCTTTAATACAATTGATCTAATTAGATCACTCGTATTAAACGAGCAGTGGCTCCTACTACTCGCCCGGCGCCCGAAACTGCATGTCTCGGGCGTCGGGATTCGCTCCATAAGACGCAGGCACATTTTCCCCCTCCTTTTGGGGGGAAAAAAGTGCGTCTTATGGAGCGAAAAATACGGTATATACGTATATTAGGGATGCGCTGATACCGATACTAGTATCGTTGCCAAGTATTTGGGCGAGTACTCGTACTCGTCATGAGGTGATAAGGGAGCATGAAGCTGGATTCCCAGCCAATCAGAAAGCCGGGCGCCGCGTCATTACACATTGTCCGGTTTACTGATTGGCCGGGAAGCTGGCTCCATGCTCTCTCGTCAATTACGGTATCGGTATTCTGTACCGGCGAGTACCGGGAAAAAAATATCGGTACTCGTTCATGAAATACCGGTATCGGTGCATCCCTAGTTACAGTTCAGGGTTAGGGGTTATTCACATGGGGCATACACGTCCGGGCGGCGTAGATGCCCATAAACGGGCCGATCCCGGAGGGACAGGTGCTGCGTGTGATTGGGCGCAAGATTCTCATAGCCACAGACATGACTCCCAAAGGCAGATGCATGATGGTATTTGTAGTCTCACCGCAGCCGGAGGGCTGAAGTTTGCCTACCTCTGGTCTAGGTAGATGTAGCAGGGCCTGCGGCACACTATAAAGGTAGGAAGGGAACTGGACTCAGTGAAAGATGATTATGGAAGCTGAAAGCTGAAGTTTACCTGTAAAGGGTTTTATTGCTGTAGAACTGACTCAGTTATTTATCGCGGTGTTCTGTGTGTTTAGTCATGACCAGGGCAATCTCTGGCTCAGTGAAATGACATAACCACAATAAAAGATTCTGGATCGAAGTTCACTATCATATCAGGGCTCAGAGAATGACAGCCTCAGCAATAGGAAAGTAACCTTCGTCCCGTCTGTGACTCTCTCTGATTTAGTTTCACTTTTTTGCTGAAGCCTCAATAATATAAATGCAGCTGAAATCTGACATTGTACTCAAGCTTAAAGCAGAAATACCCTCAAAGAAAGATACAAATAATGGTCATATTTAGCTTCAATGCAGAGATGTCCCATTTAATACCTTTTTTTACAACTAGATGTCCTCAGTCTGATGTCCAGCATCATTCAGCTTATGTCCTCTGAGCCCAGGTCATCCTGGACCCGCCCCCAGCCTGTGAATGGACAGTGAAAGGAGAAGCAGTACAGTGATGAGCGTTCGCCTCCTATCAGCATGCTTCCTGTCTGCACATGAACTGATTGGCTATTTGTGCTGTTTCTTCCTCTCACACTCCAGCCCTGCTGTAAAGGGACTGCATGAAGCTGATACCAGGTCACATTCAGGTACTCACACTGCTTGCATTAAAAAAGACATTTCATGATGTAATAAAGATGACAGGACTGCCTTCATCTGTGTGTTTTATATCTGCTCGGAGTTCAGCCTTAAACCTTTGGAGGGAAAAGCCCCGCCTGCTATTAACTTTATGTGAGAACCCCCAAGTGCGCTTTTCTGATATAGTTTCACTTTGTTGCTGAGGTCTATCATTCTAATTTCATAGCTAGGCTCTGCTCACTGCCGTGGCACCGTCCATTGAGTGTATATCTACTGGACACTGAGATGGTGTTATTGGATGGTGGAATGGCATTTGGGAAAGTCGGGCCCCAGGAATATAGTGAAACTAAATCAGAGAGGGCCACAGAAGAGGGTTTTTATGAACAGCTTATATATAACAGAGAAAGCGATTATAACAATCAGAATGCCATGCTTTGATGCAGCGGTGGGCAACTCCAGCCCTCCAGCTGTGCTTTAACTACAAATCCCAGCATGCCTCTGCCACTGGGAGTCATGCCTGTGGCTGTCAGTGTTGCAAGGCCGCATGGGACTTGTAGTTTCACAACAGCTGGAGGGCTGGAGTTGCCCACCCATGCCCTGTTGGATTCAATAGACGCAGACATGTGCACCCCCCTTTCCAGTGCTTGAGTCTACCAACACCTATGAGGGCCCCATCGCACAGCAGCTGGTGTGTGTTGCCCAGCGCAGTGCTGATACGCCAATCCCGGCACATCGCACTGTTTACCTTTTTTTTTAAAAGAACTTTATTGAAATGTCACAAGTGACAGTTCATTAACTTGTATGGGCACAGTGAGGTGTGAGACGATTGTACTGTGTTGCATTCTGCTGCACTGAATAAAAGTACTGTGTGCAATGCGGTGGTGTGAGCTGTGTTCATCCGAATGACCTTGTCTTGCATTGGGGAAAAAATGGACAACCCCAACGCATCAGGTGGGATTGAGCCCCGACACAAAATAAATGGTATTTCTTATATGAATCATTAAATTCTAGTAAAATGACTGCAGACGAGACAATAAATCCGCTACCACAATGACTCCCGGTATGGGCGGCACACAGTTCATACAACTGTATCATTAACCAGGATGTTCAGGTTTGGTGGACTTTATCCGAACAGTCTGCACCTTCCACACCGGCACTTCCTGCCAAACCCGCCAATATCATCTATGAGCTCATTTCTCATGATTATAGGCAGCACAACCCAGACTACCTACCTAGGCTCCCTACATTAACTACCTACCTAGTCTTACTACCTAGTCTACATACCTAGGCTACATACCTAGGCTACATACCTAGGCGACCTACCTTAACTACCTACCTAGTCTAATTACCTAGTCTACCTACATAGGCTACATACCTAGACTACATACCTAGGCCACCTACCTAGGCTACCTACCTCAACTACCTACCTAGTCTACCTACCTAGGTTCACTACCTCAACTACCTACATAGTCTACCTACCTAGTCTACATACCTAGGCTCCCTACCTCAACTACCTACCCAGGCTACATACCTAGACTCCCTACCTAGATTGCCTACCTAGACCATCTACCTAGGCTCCCTACCTACACTACCTACTTAGGCTACATACCTAGGCTCCTTACATAGGCCCCCTACCTAGGCTACATACCTAGACTATCTACCTCAACTACATACCTAGGCTACATACCTAGGCTCCCTACATAGGCCCCCTACCTAGGCTACATACCTAGGCTCCCTACCTCAACTACCTACCTAGGCTCCCTACATAGGCTCCCTAACTAAGCTAACTACCTAGGCTCCCTACCTATACTACCTACCTAGTCTACCTACTTAGGCTACCTAATTAGGCTCCCTTGCATGTTAAGGTTAAAGGTTACATTTCAGGATTATTCACATGGGGCGTACACATCCGGGCGGCGTGCATGCCCGTAAATGGGTCAATCCCGGGAAGGACAGGTGCTGCGTGTGATTGCGCGCAGCAACCTGTTCTTCCCTATGGGAGGATGCGGCTGTACGCTGTGACACGCACACCTGAACTGATCCCTGTGGATACGGGTGTCCGCACTCGGACGCAGACAGGATCCATCCTGTCTCACAATGTGCATTAGAAGCTGCAATAAATAAGACAGAACCTGTCTCATTTCCTGGCTGGAGGACATCAAGCATCATCTAGTACTTTCCTCCACAGCCTGCCTGTCCCTGGCCCACCCCTTTCAATGGATTTCAGTTCTTTCAATCATGGAGACTCAGCATCACATGTGGGAATTACCTAGGGTGGTCAGTGTGCCAATACAGCCTGTCTAGGAACACCCACTCCTCCAGACTGATACTAACCCATTATGCATTTTGAGATTTGTATAACTCCTCCCAAGAGTCTGCACACTGCTTGCATCATGGCTGAGGGCTCTTGAGAGGAGTACTGAGGAACGGTGCTGTGCTGTTTTCAGGAAGCTATTACCAGGGTACATTACCTGCTGGCTCCTCCCACCAGCCATAATCTACCTGTTTTACATACAGAAGCATTGGGACCAGTGACGTGCAGTACCTTTGGTTCCTCAATCACCGAAGCCACACACCCAACCCGGTCCCCAAGCTAGCGTGAAGGAGTAAGGGAGGAGACGGGCAGGAGCCTCCCTGTCCCTCACTTACTTGCCACCGCTGAGGCATCGAGATCGATGGG